GATTCTGCGTGAAAATGGAGGGCTGAGATTTTGCTTGGGAAAAGGTGGGAGGAGCAACGGTTTGATGAGAGGGGGATTTTGAATTTTGAATTGTGAATGAGTGTGTCGCACGTGGGAGCGAAAATGACGAAAATGGGCAGGTGGGGTAAGTGAACGAGGTAAATAAAACAAGGTTTAAGTATGTTAATTATGACGTGTAACGACAGAGTTAAAGGCGAAACGGGAATTGCGATTTCGTCGGTGAAGGGGCGGGTCACGTGCTTCTGCACCTTGGAGGGAACCGTTGGCCGCTTGCTGAACGCATGAAGAACTGAAGCATACAGTGTTTTCTGTTGGAAAACGGATTCCTAATCTATTTTAGTAACATGAGGTTATTAGGATTCCTATTCTATTTTAGTAACATGAGGTTATTAGGATTCCTAATCTATTTTGGTAATAGGTTATTAGAATTCCTAATTTGATTTGATTTTTGGTTTAGAATTCCTAGTATGTTTATGATTTTAGGATTTCTATATATATAGAACAATTGGAAGAGAGAATTTGGGAGAAGCAAATTGGGGATATTTGGAGCACAGAAAAGAGGTATTTTCTGAGCTATTTGTTTAGGGTTTTGTTTGGAGAGATTAAGAGCTTGTTGGTGAGATTAGTTTGTTCCTTCGAGTGAGTTGTAATCTCAGTTTGTACTCTTTCTCTATTAGTGAAAACCTCATCCCCTTTCTTACCCCGTGGACGTAGGCAACTTACCGAACCACGTTAAAAATTGGTGTTTTGTTTGTACATTGATATTTAGTTCGTTTGGCTCTCTTGGATTGGCGTTTGGTTTGGTTCCTCGACACAGCTTTTGACACAACAATTGGTATCAGAGCTCGGGCTACGCTTGGGCTATTTGAAGGAGTAGATCGGTTTGGGAAGCTCGTCTAGGGTTTCAGTTGGTGAGGAAGGTGAGATCTTTTCGGTAAAGCTTCTTTCTTTTCTCAGTTTTGGATCTATTCTTTGTTTGTTTCTGCATTGGTTGTTGGTGTGTTGAGGATTATGGCCGAGAAAGAGGGAGTTGAGGGTAGTTCTTCAGGTGTGAAGACTGTCCAAAGTTTGAGTATCCACTCGATGAAGATTGACGTAGAGGGACTTGAGGGTAGTTCTTCAGGTGTGAAGACTGTCCAAAGTTTGAGTATCCACTCGATGAAGATTGTCGTGGATAAGTTCAATGGCAATAACAATTTTGAACTTTGGCGATGCGAAGTCTTGGATGCGCTCAATACGCAGAATTTGGAAGATACATTGGAGTTGGACGGAAAACCGGACGACATTGATGAGAAGGTTTGGAAAAAGATGAATCGGACAGCGTGTGGTGTGATTAGGTCTTGTCTCACTCAAGATCTAAAATATGATGTGATAAATGAGACTTCTGCGAAGAAGATTTGGGAGGTCCTAGAGAGCAAGTACTTGACGAAGAGCGTTAAAAACCGCTTGCATTTAAAGATGAGGCTTTATCGCTTCCAATTGAAGAAGGGGACATCCATTAGTGATCACATGAACCACTACACGAAGCTTCTTGCAGATTTGGCGAATGTAGATGTCATTGTTGAAGATGAGGACAAGGCGTTGCTATTGCTGAGTTCCTTGCCCGACGAGGAATATGAGATGTTTGTCCTTACTCTTATTAATGAGAATGTATCTCTTTCATATAGTGAGGTCACCGCAGCATTAGTGAATTACCAACTCAGGAATGACAAGGAGACTTCTATTGAGCCGGTAGCGGGGGCATTGGTTGCAAGAGCAAAGGGTCCAAACCGAGGTAGAAAGTCATATTCTAGAGGAGCACATCTTGGAATTCGTAGGAATCAGTGTGCTTTTTGTAAAGAAGATGGACATTGGAAAGCTGAATGCCCAAAGTTGAATGATCAAGACGGGAAGAATAAGGGAAAAGTTGTATAAGCTTCAGAGGTGAATATTGTCAAGACTAGTGGCAACAATTCAGATTCGGATTCTTCAGGCTACTCATTATCTGCACTGTCGTCAGTTTGTGTTACCTACTCTACAGAGTGTGTAACAACCGTGAATTTTGATACGTAATTAAATAAATTTTTCTAGTATTTAAAATATTATATTATATTCTATTAATATTTTTCCTAATTTCTAGAATTTTCTGAGTTTTCAAAATAAATAAATGAATAAATAAATAAATAAAATATATAGTATTGTATTTATTAGTTCTGCTAAATATTAATTTATTACAGAAATTTTATATATATATATATATATAAATATTTGGTCACTGACATTATTAATGACTTTGTTATTATTGATATAACCTGAGTATAGTACAGTAACATATAAATATAAAAATAAATATTTTTGGTTATTAATAATTTATTAAAATAATTCTTATTCTGAATTTTATGTAAATATTTTCCATAATCTTTTCTCCCTTAATTCTCTCTCTTTTGAATTCTTTCCATCAATTCCATAATCACTCATTTAACTCATTCCATTTTTACTCACTTGATTTTCTCTCTTCAATTTCACTCGTACTCTCTCTTTCCTTTTTCTCTCTCCCTCTCACAATTGGACAGCTCAACCCCAGCTCATTTTCTTTTTACTTTTTCTCTTCCTTTCAAATTGGACCCGCCCTACTCATAAAATCGATTTTTTCGGGTCGGCTCGGATCGGTTCGGTCGGTTTTTTTTGTTTGGACCGAACCATGCTCAGCTCTACTCACGACAAGGGCGAAGATGCTGAAACATAAAGACGTTGAAACGATACTAAAACGCTTGACTTCACATATGAAAAAAAAAACCCTTCGGTAGACTGAAAGGTCGGGCGGAATTATTTCCCGAAATTGCCCAGCTTTCCGTTATTAAAAACAAGAAGATTAAAAAAAAAAAAAAAAAAAAAAAAAAAAAAAAAAAAAAACGCATTTGCTCTTTTTATCACCTTCTCAACCCTAGCCACTGGTCTAGGGCTCTTCCCACTGGTCTCCTCCGGTCCTCATGGCGTCCCTCTCGACAACTCTCTCTCCTCAGTTCACCCCTTCACAGTGGATCCATTCTCGAAACCCTAGAAGCTCTGCCTTCACACCTCGGTTCATCAAGAGCCGCCCGTCGACGGAGGCGAGGATCGCGGTGAGCTCCAACGGATCTCGCTTCGTTTGCAAAGCGGTCTCGGTTAGGCCTCAGACTGAGATCGAGGGGCTTAACATCGCCGAAGACGTTACTCAGGTATAAGAATCGATTTGATGTGATTACTGAAATTGGGACCTTTGAATGACACCTAGTAGTTTATTGTCTAGTGTTTTTTTTTATTTTGATTTTTGTAAATGGGGAATCAGTTGTGGGTTCGCTAGAGATTGGAGGAGGTGTCAGTTCTGCTCTGTGCTTTACAGTTGGTATCTGAGAGAACCCCACCTTTGTGTTGTTCTTTTACTGGATGTAGATGATGTCCTGGAGGATGAGAGGGATGATTGTATGAATGTAGGTCCGTTGAGCTTGGTATGTGTATCTTAGGTTTATAAGGGATTTTGGCTCTGTAGCCCCTGGCTTTTAGGGGTGAGTTCTCCTGGGACCCTTACAAGCGGTGTCAGAGCCAGACCTACCTTTTCGGTTGCAATTATTCACCCGGAACTAGTTCAGTGCAAAGCCAAAGGGGTGACCCTAGGATTGCAATGTTCGACGGGAATAGACTAGTGCACAACCTGTGGTGTGGGTGCCGGGATCGGAAGCATGGTGGTATGCTAGGGTCCACAAGGCCCGCACGGGTTATACGGGTAGTTTGATCATCGATGTGGGTTTTTAAGGGATTTGTGACTCTCTTCCTCTTAACAGCAAGCTTTTAGGAGTCAGTTCTCCTTGGTTTCTACATGGAATTATTGTAGTCAAGAGTTCAACCATCAACCGGAGTTCAATGCGGAAGTGTAGCACGCGGAAGAGTCAGTGAACACCTGATTAGATTTCTTTCTCCGCAGACCAATCGATCATCGGGTGATGCGGAAACGCCAAGAATCTATGTTCGAACTAAAGAGAAAGCAATATATTATAGAAATGGAACAAGAGCACAAAGACATGAGATTTACGTGATTCGGCAATTACCAACATTCATGACGAGACATGTGAATAGTCTTTATATTAGAGATACAATCTTTCTTGTGATCTCTTAAGACTCTATAGGAAGCTCTCTATCAATCTAACCAAAATATCTCTGAAACTCCCAGATTTCTTTCCTTAGTTCTGTCTACCTCTCTTTTACAATATGCAACTCTCATTGGTTTTAATCATCTAACCTTAGATTTGGAAGACGTCTTTTATACGCCCTGTTACGGGATACATAATCCCATAGGATACTAACCTGAATTGAATTTCAAAGTAGACTAAAAAACTGGAAACATCACAAAACCGTCAAACCAGTTGGTCCAGCAACCGACTGCTCCCTCTTTGCCTCGTTTCACCTCATTTAGCTTTTTTTGCTTCGTTCCCGACTCTTCCATTGTCTTCTAGGACTGAAATGCAAGGTCATTTTCCAACAAGTTAATTGTCGTAATTAGGATGCAAAAGGATACAAATATTTGCGTATATCCGTACTCTTACGGATATGAATCTTGAAATATCTATTTCCCCATTTAGGATATGAATACTCATACAAATATAAGTAAAATATTTAGTTCTGTACCCAAATATCCGAACATGTCTTTCAATTTAGAAGAGACTGCTCGTTATTAGAAATGTATGTATTATTAAAAATCTATATACCATTGCTGTTAGACCTTTTTTGATGTTGATCATCAGGATTTTAGTTGTATGAGACATTAGATTTGCCAAGCTTTCTCCAAATCTTACTGATGATTAATGAGGCCACTGGTTGCTACATGTACTGATGATTAATGAGGCCACTGGTTGCTACATGGATCCTCCACATTGTTGAGGAAGCTTGCATGTCGTGTCGTTTGTTTTCCACAATATTCAAAAGCAAAATTTTATTGTGTGCGGTCCGGGAGCGCTTAACGATTAATCGGATTATGCGCCGATTAATCAGATTATGTTTTTTTTAATTTTTAGTATAGACTTATTATTTATCATATTTTAAAATATATAAAATTCATGAAATAGAAAATATACTTAGAAGCTTGGACTAATGTGTTTCGCTGGAGAGCCTCTAGGCGATCGTCAGAGAGCGTGTGAGGGAGCATGTTGATCATCAATCTTGGAATCTATCCATCGACTTTTCACAAGCTGCGTGAGGTCAAGCAAGCATCGGTGAGGGCTGGAGATATTTGTCAAGCAAGCATCAGTGAGGGCTGGAGATATTTGTCGGAGCCACTGGGTTCAAACAAGAGATTGTATGGGCATATTAAGAAAAGTGCCTGCATAAAAATATTATGTGGGTGTTTTGTGAAAATGCGCCTGGTTATGCAGATGGCCGCATAAGGGAGCTCTTTTCCCCTAGCCGGAGCAGTTCCAACTTGTTTAGGCATAAGAGGCTGTTTAATCCATAATTTGGAACAATGGTTTTTCATAGGAAAGTATCAATCTGATGGCTTCAGGACGGCCGACCATTTGTCACAAAGTAACATTCAAGACAGCTGATGAATCAACAAAGAAGACATTGCAGCCGGCGTGTGCTCCGGGATCGGAAGCGTGGTAGTATGCTAGGGTCCACTAGTCCCACATTGGTTATAAGGTTAGTTTGATGTGGGTTTGTAAGGGATTTGATTTCTCTCCCTCAACGACTAGCTTCTAGGGGCGAGTTCTTTTGGGTTTCTTACATAGAATTATTGTGTTCAAGTTCATTGCTGTAATTAGGGATGCAAAAGGATACAAATATTCACAGATGTATCCGTACCCTGATGGATATGAATCTTGAATTTCTATATCCGTTTAGGATACCATACAAATATAAGTAAAATATCCAATTTTGTATCTGATTATCCGAATATATGTCTTTCAATTTAGACGAGACTGCTCGTTATTAGAAACATATGAACCATTGTTGTTAGACCTTTTCTGATGTTGATCATCAGGATTTCAGTTTAGATGTCTTTCAATTTAGATGAGACATTAGATTTACCAAGCTTTCTCCAAAATCTTACTCATGATTGTGAGGCCACTGCTTGGTACATGGATCCTCCACATTGTTGGGGAAGCTTGCATATCATACCGCTTGTTTTTCGTGGGAGAGTTTCAATCTGACGGCCTCAGGAGGGCCAACATTTGTCACAAAGGAACATTCAACAGAGCTGATGAACCAACGAACAAAACATTCAAGACAGCTGATGAACCAACAAACAAGTCATTGCAGCACTCTTTCTTTTAAATTCTTTACATCGGTCTGCAAATAGAGTTTGTGTTGTGTTATGCTCAAATGTACTTCATTTAACTAGGTGTATATTCACAACTTACAAGTACATCAACTATGTGTATCCTAAAGGAGTTTTTATTTTGTGCTTTGTCGCTGATGTATCTGTCTAAAGGATTGTGTTATTCTGTCACAGCTTATTGGGAAGACACCTATGGTATATTTAAATAACATTGTGAAGGGATGTGTTGCAAATGTTGCTGCCAAGCTCGAGAGCATGGAGCCATGCAGTAGTGTCAAAGACAGGTAATCTTCTAATCGGTTGTTTAGTTGATATCAAACTGAATGAATACTAATTCAGAAATTCTGTTTTATATTTATTTCAGGATAGGATACAGCATGATAACAGATGCTGAACAAAAGGGGCTCATAACTCCTGGAAAGGTACCCAAAGTCAATTGCATTGCGCTATATATGGTCTTCTCTTTTTAAAAGTTTGCACTCATGAATTCATTGATAAAGGAAATATCTGATTGTGAGCCTTGGGTATCCTTTGATCACAGTTATTTCTACTATTTAATAGTGATAAGCAAAGGTTATACTTTGAATGGTAGCTTTTTTTCCCTATCAGAAGTTACAAGCTTCAGAAATTTTTGAGGTTTAAACTTGTATTATGTTTTCTTGAAGATACAATCTAGATATATCAAACAATGAGAATTATGACTATGCTGTTTTTTTCCTGCTGCTGCAATATGTCTGTCTCTAATTTCTTTGATCTTTTTAGTGGGTAAATAAGGTATCCTTTAGTAGCAGATGCAGTATGATTCCCCTCCCTTCAATATATTCGTAATTTTTTTCTAGCATGTACTTATTTCAGTATTCTACTTATATTTTCAAGAGTGTATTGGTGGAAGCAACGAGTGGGAACACTGGCATTGGTCTTGCCTTTATTGCCGCTTCAAGAGGATATAAATTGATTTTGACAATGCCTGCATCTATGAGCATGGAAAGGAGAGTCTTGTTTAAAGCTTTTGGAGCAGAGCTTGTTCTTACAGATTCTGCCAAGGGCATGAAAGGAGCTGTTCAAAAAGCTGAAGAGATTTTGAAGAAGACACCCAATGCTTACATGCTTCAACAGTTTGATAACCTTGCTAATTCTAAGGTATAGTAGATATGTTGCCAATACTGCTTCTGTTGATTTAATGCATGTATTTTGATTATTCTTCCTTGTATACAGATACACTTCGAGACGACTGGTCCAGAAATCTGGGAAGATACAAATGGCAAGATCGATATATTTGTCGCAGGAATTGGAACTGGTGGAACTATTACTGGTGTTGGCCGCTATCTGAAGAGCAAAAACCCCAACATAAAGGTGAGGTCTATTGAGTTTCCTGCTCTTTCCTTACTAGCTTTTGTTGTTAAAAACCTGGCATAGGGATACCAAGTTATCATGAATTATGGATCTGAAGATTCTGAACTATTGATTTTTGTTCAAATTCTTACTGGAAATTGCATACGCCTACCGCAGGTTATTGGTATCGAGCCTACTGAAAGTAACATACTCTCAGGGGGGAAGCCTGGTACTAGCAGAGCAATTTCATTCCTCCTTGCATTCCTCTTTCTTTTTTTTTTCCTTGGCCCATTGTTATAATCATTTCTTAACCGTGTAGGTCCACACAAGATTCAAGGAATTGGTGCCGGATTTGTACCAAGTATTCTAGATCTTGAAGTTATAGATGAAATTATTGAGGTAAGAACCTTTTATATATTTATTCCTTCTGCAGTATAAATGCCAAACTCAGTTGTTGGATGATAGTCTATCAGGCTGAATCTTAGTTCGTCGTAATTAAGACCATTAAGTTGTTGTGTTAATCATCCTCATTGTTATTGATGGAAAGAATGCAGTTTTTTTTTTAAAGAATGCATTTTTTTTTTATTTGATGCAATGCCTAGACATCACTCTGGCACATTTTTTCTATTGTAATGTGACAAGCCACGTATACTCAATATTGATTTTTGATGAAGTTCTTGTTGAGGCAGGGATAGTGACATGTCCAGCTTGCCCTTATCATGCATGCGCAATGAAGCTCTTCTGCAGAACACTGCATCAGAGCTTGAAAATCTCTATCCTTTTTCTTGGTAAAACAAGTTTGCTTATCCATCTTCATGACTCCGAAGCCATTGTTAATTACAAGCAACAGTCCGATTTGGTTTAGTGGTACCTGCTTTAGACCGATGCAGTAAGTTAACATCCTCCTAAGGTAGTGGTACCCACCAAAATACTTCTATAATTCAATTAGCGGGGCTTCAAGTTTTTGGGACCCTGGGTTCAATGACGAGCCCTTTGGGTTTACCTATAGAACACAGTTGAAAATTCCTTGTTGCCCCATTCAATCTTCTACTCCCTCTTTCATGTTTCTTTTTGTAGCCTTAAAAATTTGAACTTGTGATTGACATGTCACGTGTAACACCTCATTTCCGGAACCTTGAAATATTTTGTTAAGCGAACTTCGTTTTCCCTTAATGTTCACTCCATATCCCTGTGTCCTCCTCCCTTACATCACCTTTGTGCCAACTTCATGTTCTTATCAAACCCAGTTTGATGTGTATGGTTCCTTTACCATTTTCTACTTCATGGTGCACGTGCTTAGCACGTGTACTCATTTTCATATTTATGTACAGGCTGTAATTGTAAGTGCATATTGCAATTGTAATTTTCTCTGTGTAAAAGCAAAGTGAAAAGAGAATATTATTTTTGTGAACTAGAACAATCTTTGAATTTGATAATAGTTTGTTATTTTAGTAATTATATCAAATTTAAAACTTAAGATATCCAAAAGAGCACTAGCGGCAATACGATGTTGGGGTGGATGTACATATAAAAATTAATGGTTTTGGATTATTAAAACTCTACCTTAAAAGTAATTTTTCTAGAATTTAGAGGGTTAACCATAGTTTTGCGGATAATATTTCCTATAACTTGTGGACTTCAAATTTTTTAGAATGTACTCGTTCTTATAATTTCTTTACTTAAAACATTAGAATTTAAATTAACATTTCACATGTTTTTTTGTGTAAAAATATTTTTTTCCCCAAAACCATTATTATTTATAAAAGTATCCTGGACATAAGATTAAAGCTTTGACATGGGATAAAAAATATATGTTCCTATTCCATTTGAACATTGAAAACAAACAGTCAGAAACTAAGGGGTTTAAACTAAAATTTCCTGAGAATAAAGTACCATGCTGTTTATTTATTTTAAAAAAATTATGGATTTAAAATAATTTTTTTGAAATATAGGGGTTAAAGTAAATTGTGTTTCTTCTTCTACATATCTTGTGGATTCTATGCATAACTTTAAGAAGAGGACTTGGATGTTCTTTCAATTATATCTCGCTCCCCAAGCCAACTACCTCAAGTTATCCACAGCTTCCTCAGTGCATTCGCCATAGACTACTTATGTTGTAAATTTCAAATATTTATTTTATATTCTGTTTGGATGAATGTGAAGTTTAGAAAAGACTCACTGATGACTCAATTGTGTAGTGCATGTATGTTGCACATGGACGTACTTGTGTTATTTTTTGAATTTCCAATTGTATGGGGAAAAAGATGAAGTGACTCAAAAAAATATAAATAAAAAAAGGAGCAGGAAGAAGAAGAAGTATATTAACTGTCCACGTTGAATGAAAATACAAAGTTTAATTTTGTTTTACTTTTAATGGCGTGTATCAAGCTTTCGTCATGATAATCGTTCATACAATTTTGAAGTTGATCCTGAATCTGGAATGCTTCATATAACACTTCCATTCCTTGAGTTAGTACAATGAATATAACATTTTTGTCCCCTTCCCCTAAATTCTTTTTCAATAATAATCTTGTTTTCCCCCCCCTCTTTTTGCTTCCGTAGTGCTCTTCACCAAGGATAAAGTGAATATGATATAGAGCATGTGCGTTAACTATGCTTGACATCTCTATTTACATTTAGCAATTCCTAAATCAAACAAAAAACCACAACCATTATAAGAATTACAGCAACTCTCCAACATTAACATCAAAACCCAAATTATAAGAACCGACCCACAAGATCCCCGTAGATATGTCATTAGTATCAAAGCATCTCCCTCAATATTAAACAGTTGGATCAGATCATGGAACTAATGATACCTATCTGCATAAGAAAATGCCCATCGTCTTCTACATCTTACTACCATTTTCTTTTTCTCCATTTTTGATCTCAGTTCAAGAACCCTTCACTGTGATATTGGAGGCCGAGGTCCACTACGACTCCACAGTCTCCGGGATGAGAGCTCTTCCTCTGAATCCCACGTCTATGTAAGTACGGTGATGGACACTGCAGTGCCCAGATCGTAGCATTTTGCCATTTCAAGTAATGAACAACATTGAGTCAAAAAGTACCAGTACAAAATTTAAAAAATGAATTTTGTTGCATTATGAAGAAAAACAAAGAACAATCTGTTGACAACACTTGTGATAGTTCAAAAGAGCAGGACAATCTGCTGCATCACAAGAGCTGTTAAATTGGACTAATTTATACAAAAAATGTGGAGAAAAATTTAAAAAGCTTTTCTCTAGTCGTTTATGCAAGAATCGGTCAACTATTGATATGCAATGTTTGGATGAACCACATTTAGAAACCTCAGAGGTCAATAAGCTCCGACGACACAGCCTCACCTGAGTAGTCACCACCACCCTGAGTATTGGCGTAGATTTATTTTGTGATGGTTGTGGTTTCCTTTGTTTCCGCTGCCTATCATTTTGTGATTGGTGAAGGGTGTATAAAGAAGAGAGGAAGATTAGATCATGGGATACATGTGTACTAAATGAAATTGATTTTCGCTAAGTGGGACAGTGGGTAGTGAATGAGGGGGTGTTAGTGGGTAGTCTTTAATTGTACAATGTTCCAAGTGGTTTCAACTTGCAAAATGGAACAGTTTATTTTCTTTGGACAAAAATTGATGCACTTGAACCTATACTGTAGTAAATAATAGACATACTATAGTTTAAAATATATAACTATAGTAAATAATATCTATGGTATAGCAAAAAAATGTCATGAGCCTTTAATTAATTTGATTTAATAGGTTATGTATATGTATGATGTGTTTGATTGAAGGGTTGTGGTTTATGTATTTATGTATGCATGTATGTGTTTTATGCATGCATGCGTGTGCTTTGGAGTCCATTTTTGGAAGAAATGTAAATTTTAGAACTTATTAGATATTTGATTTTACATTGAGTACAAATTGTAAATTTTGATACAAATGGGTACACCCTTGGTTAGGACTGTGTCAAGTTCCTTGCACAGAGTAGACATGTCATTTGGCAAAGTAACAAGTCAGAGTGGTTTGCTACTTAATAATGCATGTGACATTCACGTTGGTGAATAGTTGACTTTAAATGGTCATATTTGGTATGTTCAAGGTAAGAAAATGCATTGACCTTTCATGGCATTCTTAAGAAGCTATTTAGTCATGAATACTTCTAATAACTGGTATTTAAGCCTTTACTTGACTCTCCTGGAGTCAAAGTGCTTCAATATTCTAATTTTGCAACTTGAATGAAGGCTATGAGGCAAAGGGTATGTTATACTTTCGAGTAGCTTGGACTTTGATCCTATGTTTTACTTTAGCCTTTTCTCCTTAGATGTTTAGTTGCACATTCTTCTTTATACTGCTTCTTGATATTTAATTTTTTTTAGAGAATATATGTAAAAGATATGGGCTGTATATCTCATGTTTGCAATAAACTTTAAACTTATCACTTTCAATATTCACGCATGCTTATTTTGATTGTTTTACTTCATTATCGCTACACCTACTTTCTGATGATAACAATATACTTATGACATTTACTGGTTTCCATGTTACAGATATCCAGCGATGAAGCTGTTGAAACAGCGAAGCAATTGGCTCTTCAGGAAGGATTGCTGGTAAGTACTATCCATTATGTTTCCAGACTTTCTTTGTGGCTTGGTATTCTGATTTCTTTATACGTGGATTGTTTTTACACAAATGGAAACATGATTAAACCTGGAGAAAGGTTCATTTTTGCCCCATGAATGAACTGCAGATTTTCTCATAAAAGTAATTATTTTATGCATCATTATGGTGTTTTAGCTTTTAACTGCTTGCATATACTCATCTATGCTTTCACTTTATCTTCAAATATGCATGATAAATTTTGAAGCCTGCGGCCAATTGCATTGTATATATAATTCAAATGTAGTGTATCATCTCCTGTAGAGTAACCAAAAGGGTTCATACTATTACCACAGTCAATGATACCCATGTTCTTCTGCATAGGTAATTTGTTACAACACTTAAAAAGATAGTGCCCTGGGCAATCTTGTTGTGACAAGATCCAAGGTTATCCATTAGAATATGTTTTCTTTAAGCCATACCAAAGACGGAGGTCTTATAAAAAGTAATTTCACCACGCTGTGCTACGGGAGTGAGTGTAAAACCTTTCCCGCTTCTAATCATGAAGGGAATTTTGGGAATATGAAATTTCTTTTGGTTAGGAAGAAATTTGAATTTAATAACATATTTATCTATGGTAATAGGAAACCAACGATATATGTTATTATTTCCAATAATAACGGCTTCCATATGACCACGTTCTATGATGTAGGCGGAAAATGTCATAGAAATTTTCCTTTTGTCAATAGCTTTAAAGATAACAGGGAGATTTTGACCTTTTGGATCATTATTGTTACTTTCACATTAAAAGATGTAATGATTTGAGGAGTTTTGTATTGCCTTCTATGTGAAGGAGGAACAAATTCTCCTCTAATAATGCTTATATTAGCTCTAGTTTCGTTTCCTACCTCTAGGCGTAGCTTGATAGGTAAAACAAATATAAACAAATAGCAGAAATCAAACTACATAATGTAGACAGATATTGGAAAAAAAGAAATTTAGAACAACAATATATTAATATTTAATAGAAATAGAACTTACAAGTTTTATATTACAAAATTCCACACCATCAAAACTTAGACTTCAATACATGCTCTGATACCACTCTTATTTAACAAGCACTTACAAACTCTATTTTTCGATGATCCTTGCAACATACTAATCACTTCTATATATAGACTCCAAACCGACTTATTTTTATAAAAGTAATTTTATAAAAGTTAGTAAAATATCTTTAATAAAATATTTTTTAAAGGTACCTTTTATAAAGTAGCTTTTAAAAAGTAGCTTTAGTAAAGATGCTTTAATAAAGTATCCTTAGAAGAGTGACAGTTCTTCTTTTGAATTTTTTAGAATTAAACGGGTCCCACCATGCTTCAATCAGTTTTTGGAGCCGTGTTTTGATTAAAAAAACGTACTGGTAGCACCTCATTCCTTGCTTATCATTAATTCATTTTGCTTCTTTGCTCGGCGGGCAATTGGTCCTAAGATCAATATATATGAATGTCCACGTTGCATCAGGTGCATCAAACAATTGCGAGATCCTCAAAAAGGAGGCAACCGAAAATAGCTTTATTCCTGCTAAAGGTAAGACAAAGCGGAAAATAGAAGAAAAAACTGCTCAAAGCAAGAAGCCCAATGCTCCCCAAGGATAATGGAAAAAGCATCTGCAATTCAAGGATATTATAAGAAAAAATTAGTATAACACTAGTTAACCCGAAGAACACTACAATGCAGTAAATAATCTTTGGAAAAAGCTGCAAGGAATGCGACTTTGCGAGTTTTCACTCCGGACACTAATGCCTGTCTATCAGCATTTGAAAAAAAAATTAAGGACAACAATCGTAAAATCCAGAATCTTGAAAAAGGTTACCACAGATGCAAAAGCATTGTGGAAAAGATCATAAGTAAATCAACATTGATCATGTCAAAGGCAATGAAAAAATTCAAAAAAAGCAAATGCAAGTTTTTTTTGGGTTCAAGCTCTAGAAATCTGAGATCTATTCTAGAGGAAATTGAAATCAAAGACCTAGCAATAACCAAAATTGATGACTTTGTCGAACTAGTCAACTATTTTAAGTTTGATATTTTAAAATATCAGACAAAATTAAAAAATATGTTTGATAGTTATCAACACAACCTGATTGATGATCATGCAATGTTATCTTACTTCGAGAAGTTGAAAGACGATGGGATAATTTCGTTATTCAAGACAGCCTCTCAGGTCATATTAAACCAATATGATCGACCAATGGTACTAACTAGTTTTGAGCTCATACCCTTAAATAAGGAACTTATCAAAAATGGTCTAGTATATAAATTATATCTTGACAAAACTAGACCAGAAGAATATAAATTCTTCATTCCTGATATATGTAGTCAGACATTTAAGGAAACTGGTAAATTTCAAAGAGTATTCGAATTCACCATATAGGTGATATGGGAAGAACACGATTTACTCGAATACTATCCGCCCTATCAAATTTGGAGGCTCGACCCCTTGGTAAGAGAACCTTACGTCAAACATATTCTATTCAACGAGGAGTATGACCTTGAAGAAGAGAAAGAAAATGTCTACAATCGAGTTCTTTGAAGCACTACATTACAATAATGAGTAAATAATTATAAAAGATTACATTATTCTTTATCTCCCACATTTAGTGTTCAAAGAAAAAGAATTGCAGGAAAAATTTAACGAAGAAATGATCTTAGGACCCGCCGAGCAAATGAGCAATATGAATTTTTGATGAGCACAGGAGGAGGTACTTTACAAGTACGTTCTTTTGATCAAGACACAATTTCAAAAACTGACTGAAGCATGGTGGGAGCCGTCTAATTCTACAAGATGCAAAAGAAGAACCGCCATTCTTCTAAAGATATTTTATCAAAGCATTTTTACTAAAGTTACTTTTTAAAAAGCTACTTTATAAAATGTACTTTTAAAAAATTATTTTATTAAAGATACTTTACTGATTTTTGTAAGGTTACTTTTACAAAAGTAAGTCGGTTTGGAGTCTATATATATAGAAGTGGTTAGTGTGTTATAAGGATCATCAAAAAATAGAGAGCTTGCGAGTGCTTGTTAAACAAGAGTAATAATCTAAAGGGATTGAGATGAAAGCCGAGCATTAGGTGTACAGTGGGAATTTGTAGTAGCACTCAGTGAAACTTGTACTTCTACATATGTATTTTGTTACAGCACCGATATGCAGTTGGCTTTCAAGTTGAAAAATGAGTGGAACAGAAATGAGAATTTAAGATGGATGGCAGTACACTAGGAAATGACTCCATTCCTAGGGATTCAAGAATGTGCTCTTATCGGGGATGAATTGAGATAATCAATTGAAATGGTTTGGACATGTGTAATGAAGACCATAGTGCAACAATTATAGTTAACGGAGCCAAGGACTAAATGTAGGTCTAAGGGAATTTGGACTGAGGCAGAAAGTATATGATGGTGGTTAATTCACTGAGCATGTGACTCTTAAGAAACGTGAATCAGGGAAAAAGGATTGATTTTACCAACATCAAAGTTTGGTATAAAAGCTCTTTTATTGTTGTTGATAGCAATGTTTAAAAAAGCAGAAGCGCAAGGCGTTTGATGAAGTGAGGCGTAAGCTTCATGAGTTTAAGTATATTTAAATTTGTAAAAAATATGAATATATAATAGATATAGTGGTTAGGGGTAAGCAAACTACGGTGTGAACCAAATAAACCGATTGTACCGCCCGATTTGAGGCAGCTTGGGTCGGTTTTGATAATGAATTGGTGTGGGCCTGGTCTGTTATTTTTAAATCGGCGTACACCGAAACCGACCATCTACTCTTTTATTACTTAAAACTTTTGAACTCAGTGAGCATCCATTCGTATTCCTCGGGCCCAGAAATGCACCCGACGTGATAGCGATTACAACTCATAGCAATCTGTTAGTAATTATTATTTTTTATTAAATATCGTGAGAGAGATCTAGCACTCAATTTCTCATTTTTCTAGGCTGTTTCTTCCAACTAATGCCTAACAAAGCCATAGCCATTATTACTCTATTTCTTAGCCATTTCTTCTTCTTCAGTTGTTTACTTTCCTCGTCTCTTGTTCTTCTTCAATTGTTTACTTTGCTTTTGTCTTTTGTCTATTGTCTTATATTCGTATATTTGCAAAACCGAGAGCCCTTTGTTACTGCGGTGGTCTCTTTGTGTTGCTGTGGTTTCGGTTGCGGAATCAAAAAATTAATCTTCTTTTGAATGAGGACGGCCGGAAGACGTGTTTCTCGTATATGTACCACTCCCACTTTTCTAGTATAGAATCGATCAAACCGTACCGATACGAACCGATTCATTTTGGTGCGGTTTCGGTTGCTGTAGATGATCAATGTGGTTTCGGTTGCCAATAATTTGGTCAAAAGCCGACCGACCGACCGATTGCTCAGGCCTAAATAATAATTTACAAATGTATACATTCATGTCTTGATTAGTAAATAAGATTTAAATGTTAAGTGTAGAAACAAATCAAATCATAATAAACTAAGCTACATACATAACATATATATTATATTTACACTTATGTGGTCATATTGAAAATACATAGGGGCATTTTAATGTTAGTCAAAAATCCTTATCTGTCCTCTTATCTTTTTTGATGCGTGCGCTTCAAAAGAAAAGCGTTGTATGAACCGCGAAGCGCACACTTCAGTTATGCTTTAAGCGATGAGGTGTAAGCTTCAAGGGATAAATAGTTCCACTCTTGAGTTACGAAGTGTTTGCGAAGCGAATTTTGAAGCGAGTTTCAAAAAGTTTTTTTTCCAAACATTGGTTGATAGGCAGCTAGCCTTCATCTAATCAGAATAATCTCTTTGCCGAAACACCTATACAAAACATTATCACTTGCACTGTATTTACATGATTGATGAGTGGTTTTTCAGGGAACATGAATAAATTTTCATAAGAGAATAAGATGCAGGATTAACTTATAATTGAGTGGTATATTGTTGGTTTTATTTATCTTGGTTCGTAAGGTGCCCTGCATGAGCGATCTCGCCTTTGAAGCATAACTCTGCTAGGAATTAAACCTTTGAGACTTAAATATATTATTTTCTTCTGCTCGTAAGGTCGAATATCATGACTGAACTTTAAAGAAAATTCATTAAATCTCTCTCTCTCTCTCTCTCTCTCTCTCTCTCTCTGTTTTGTTTTGTTCTTCTTTTCTTTCCCAGGTGGGCATTTCCTCTGGAGCGGCAGCTAGCGCTGCTATGAAGGTGGCAAAGAGACCAGAAAATGCAGGGAAACTTATCACGGTATGTTCTAATTCTTTAGCGCTCCTTGAAATCTTTTGTGAAACATCTACATGATAGTTAGATACCGAGTTTTTCAGGGAAATAAATTATACTGAACTATGATCCCATATGATGATATGATCAGGTCGAGTTGATAGGTAGTTCATCTACAAAGCAACCTAGACTAATAATAATAATTATTTTGCCTGAGCTTTAAATTAGTAAATTGCATATTTAAAGAATAAAAGAATAATAAGATGCACAAGACTTTGTACTTCAGATGAGAAGGATTCAAATCATTGGAAAACTTGGTGCTCCACAATTATGCGGAATTTTCTAGAAGACCAGCATAGAGGAATGAATCATACAGACATAATATTGGTTTAATTTCATATTCTGACCTTTTCCATTCATTTGCGTATTGGTTTTTATTTGAACTGGTTTCAGGTTGTGTTCCCAAGCTTCGGTGAGCGGTATCTTTCCACCGTACTCTTCCAATCGATACGTGACGAATGTGAGAAAATGCAGCCTGAGCTATGAGATGCCCACAAATTTGACTTGCTATTTTCCATCACGTGTTTCCATTCAAGAATGTGCGAACAGAAAATCTCGTCAATTACCAAATGTTTGTACATTCAACTGTTGCATGAGCTTTCCTTCTTTCTCGTGGTTAATAATAATGCAAGCCGAACAGATTGAAAATTTGTTTTGTATGCATAACATTCTATGCAGCGCATGGCTTTGCAAGCATATTTATTTATATATTTGAAGTATTGTTCGGATTTATTTTTATTTTTATTTTTTTGTAATTGGCTTGCAAATTGTTTTGCAAATGATCGTTTATATATTGTACAGGTTATGCATGATATGCATCTCAAAAATAAGCTTTGGTTAAGTAAGGTCTTTTTGTGGATGTTTAGCTGGATCTTTTATTGATTTATTTTATTTTATTTTTTAAGCCCGTTCTAGAATCTGGAATCTTTTCCCCAGTTTGACCTATTAAATAATATAAAAACTATGGTCAGTGGGGTTATGCAATCGTGTAACTCATGCGACTAATAAATAATATGAGGATAGACATGGCTAGTTTAATACTAGGCTTCAACTTGGCATTAGATGGTCAATATGTATGTGGTATGTTTCCATCATCATGCATGAATCTCCTTCTAAGCCAAAGGCTACACGTTAGGGAAGACGGGTGGATGTTGAGTACCAAATCAAAATTTTGTCAGAGGATTTTAATGAACTTTAATATTGCAATTGTTCAATTTATTGCGTAACCACGTGAAACTTGTTCGATTTATTGAACAGGAAATTTTGCACTAAAACAAACACTTTGGGAATCTAAGCAAGATTATAAACCTTTCCATAGGGACCGCTTTGCTTAATCGCACACCCACAAACCCACCCAGGCACGCACGCACAATGGTGTGCACACATGTGCCCCTACACGTGCAGTCTCATGCACCTATAGAATGAACCGGCATATCACAACACTCTTGACTAGTATGTTGCTGATGTATCATCTACCAGATCTTTTACGTTTCATATGGCCTCTTCACTATTCACTTTCTCAATCATGACTGTTTATTAAATATAGAACAACTGCGATGAGAAGTAAAATTGAAAGTAAACAATTTGAAGATATATTAAATGATATCTAATCCCTTGACCAGCTGAAGTAAACACATCACACTCAGACAAGTATGATAATATCATCAGCGGAGCACGCGGCGAAATTAGTTTCCAACTTACTACTATTTTGCAACTTAACACTCATTAAAATATTCAATTTCGCGTCCAACTTGGTGCTCGGCATTAGTTATCTAGTCTATCTAGTTATCAAACGCTCAAGCTAATGAAAGCTAGATAATAATTAATTAATACCGGGGCTTGGCATTAGCTATCTAGTCATCAAAGGTGGATTAATTAATTAATAGTGGAGCTCCCACTTCCCATTAGTTATCTAGTTAATTAGAGGTTCAACAGGGTCATGAAAGCTAGATTAATTAATTAATTAATATCCAGTGGAGCTCTCACTTCCCTCCTCTTTTAATTAATTTAGACCTCTGCTTTCGTGTTATCATACATAAAGCTGTGCCTGTGCCCCTCCCTCCTCTCGCATTAACTTGCTCCTCCACCTCCTTAATCCAAAGCTAACCTTCATGAATTCCTCTTCGGATCCATAAAAAAAACCCCCAGCGATGGGCGGCGAGCACGTGGATGCCAAGTAAGAAGAGCCAAACCTGTCACGTGCGTTTCAGTAGTTAGCTATATTAATCATTATTAACAGATCATCTTCTAATTAATTTTCTTCCAAATATAATTAATACGTACGAAGCAGATGGTGGTCGGCGAGTACGGTCGTGGTCGTGACCGGAGCGAATAAGGGCATAGGCCTGGCGTTCGTGAAGAGGTTCGCGGAGCTTGGGGCGACGGCGATCCTGACCGCGAGAGATGTTAGCAAGGGCTTGAAAGCGGGGAGTCGCTTAGGCCGACCCAGCCGGGATTCCGACCGATCATAGAGTTCCACCCGCTGGACGTGACCGACCTCGGATCCGTGTCGACCTTCGCTTCTTGGCTTCGACGGAGGCACGGGGGGCTCGATGTCCTTGTAAGTAATAATCAGGCTTCAAAACTTTAACTATTGATACGATTCATAATTCCTATATATATATACATATAGGTGAATAACGCCGGCGTGTCCTTCAATGAGATAGGCGAGAACTCGGTTGAGCACGCGGAGGCCGTGATCAAGACGAACTTCTACGGGCCGAAGCTGCTGATAGAAGCGCTCATGCCGTTGTTTCGACAATCTGCAACGATCGCGAGGATATTGAACGTCAGTTCTCGGTTGGCGCTGCAGAAGGTTAGATACTCAAATCATGCTCAAGTTTTACTACTGAGCCATCCATCTCAGGTTTGAAATTCGAATACCTTTATCCAATTCGTGGGGTTTGCTTGAAAAACAGTTGTTGAATCCTCCTGGTGGTGTGAGGACTCGAACTGGCGCTTTGCCTAAGATGGAGGAGTCCCCTCACCAAGTTTCCCCGCTGCCCAAAAAAAAAAAAAAAAAAAAAAAAAAAAAAAAAAAATTCAAAAAAAAAAAAAAAAAAAAAAAAAAAAAATCTAAAAGATGACTAATATTGTACAATAGAATGGGCAATCAATATCTATAATTTGAAGTTTGGTTTGATGTGAGAGGTTCAAGGAGAGCCTCAGAACATGATGATATTTTGAAGTAGTACCTGGTTGGCCAAAATTCAATTTGACCGCTCTCAAAGGTTAGATTGCTGAGTTTTCAAAAAAAAAAAAAAAAAACCCCAATAAAAATTTGTTTTAATTAATTCGTACTGCATGTAGGGATATTATGTTGAGTCCCACTAGGGGCACACCATCAACCACATTTCCAACCACACCCTCACACTCTTTATAGTGCTAGTGGGCCATGCATGATATAGTGGGACTATATCATGCATGACCTACTAGCACTATAGAGAGTGTGAGGGTGTGGCTGGGAGTATGGTTGAGGGTGTACCCTAGTGTTACTTTACTATGGTATCAAAGGAGTGGAGGAGTCACATTTTTTCCTATCTAGGACACAAGTCAGTATCGTATGACAGCTGGCAACTGCTACAGTTTCACATAGAAACAACCCGCCTTGTCCGTGCAGTAGAATAATTGGGCTATGATATGGAGATTTAGATTCTTTGTATTGACAGCTCTCTTAATCATACTCATTCAATAATATATGTATGTATGTAAAGGGGTTATGGTTTGTTCTGGATGATATATCAATACCTTACAGCCACGAGTCACGACATAGATATTTGTTTTCTTCACCGTCACGAGGACTGATGTCACTTTCTCAATCATGCATGTCTAGTTTTATTTTTATAGATAGACCCCTTGAGTAATATTATTTTTGGACTCTTTTACCGTCAAAGCGAGATAGAATTACCGTTTTACAAATAGACCTCTGGGGTCAAAATAACTACTACACTTTTTTTTTTATCCAATATAACTAATACTATATCACCATAAATTTGCATTTAATTTTATTTTTCACTCAAAATTCTTAAATTTAGTTCCTCTAATCATTAGACCAAAACTCCGAAGTTATGGTGATGATCAAGTATTATAGTTTTATATTAATTCTAACATGTCCCCGCAGGTCGAGCGTCTTTTTTATGGGTCGAAACCTGGACTCACGTAGCGGTGTCAATTTTTAGAAAATCCGCATTTAATTTGTGACCGGTGTGATTTGAACATGGGTTGCTCTGATACCATCTTAAACTTAATTCCTCTAACCATTACACCAAAACTCCGAAGTTATGGTGATGATCAATGATTATAGTTTTATATTAATTCTAACAAAAACGAATGACAATAATTCATTAAAATGATAGAAAAAACACTGTAGAATATTGTGGGAAATTAAATCCCTTCATTTTTTTTTTCATGCGGTTTGACCCTCTTTATTAATATTTGCAGAATGTGACCAACCCATCTATAAAAAACCTACTCCAAGATGAAGAAACTCTTTCAGAAGGAAAGATTGAACACATGATATCTCAATTTCTTGACGATGTTTACAAAGGAACCTGGAAAGATAAAGGATGGCCAAAGGTGTGGACTGACTACTCAATCTCCAAGCTTGCGCTCTATGCCCACTCAAAGCTACTAGCAAAACAAAACAAGGGGAGGAATATAAGTGTGAATTGCTTTTGTCCGGGATTCACGCGGACGGCGATGACCGGCGGTCGCGGCGATCGGACGGCGGAGGAGGCTGCTGAGGTTGGCGCTAGGATAGCTTTGCTCCCTCCTCATTGTCTCCTTAGCGGAGAGTTCTTTAAGATATCTACACATTCATTAACCCCTAAATTGTAGAGGGATGCTTAATTAGTTGATGGATTTTTTCCTCCTTTCTTCTCTTTGACATTAAAAAAAATAAAAAAAATAAAAAAAATAAAAGAATGGTTTATCTCAATAAACTATGGGGATTTTTAAAAAGAAATTTAAATAAACATTAGAAACCTGTCGAGAGCTTCCATTAAGTATTTTCTTTTGCTCTACCATCAACAAGTAAGTACCATTTCTTAATTATGCTAGACTTAGTCCATGGTAGGAGAAAGTATCATATAGACTCCAGTTTATGGGATTAAATGCACATCTAAGGAACATCAACCCTTGGATCAGTGTATGAATCACAAAATTCAGTTTTTCAGGAGTTGACATCCATTAGATGCACGTTAACAGCCATGGACAGTCTCAACCAAATACTTTTTCAAGTGGTGGAACAATTCTGGCCTGATTTTGGGGGCTAAACATGACCTAATGAAAGCTGGCTAAAATTGACCCAGCTTTTCCAAAACACAAAATAGATTAAAACTGGGTTATATTTGAATTTGGCCCACTTTTAGTGGGTTGCGAAACAAACCCCTAAGTGGTATAGTGGGACACCTCAGGTTCAGAATATTCTTGTTGGAAATGAGTTTCAAGAGTGTTAAGTACAAAATTAACCCCAAAAATTCATAAGGGTTTTGTGAAATTAAACCAAAGAAAAGCTAGAAGGATAATTTTGGCAACTCTTTTAACACTATGTCTGGGAGTTTATTTGGGAAGAAAATAAAAGATTAGATAGGAAAAGAGAAGATAGAAAAGGAGAGAAAATATAATATTTATTTGGGAGTTAGTGAGTGAAATTAATAAGGGTAAACTTGTTTCATCATCTTTGGGAACTCTAATTAATGGAAGGGAAAGGTAAAGAAATTTCATAGTAAAATTTCAATCGTTGATCTATAATGATAGAGTGCCAAATATCTTTATAATTAATCCCCCTCCCCTTCCCTTCTCTACCACTGATTTGGAAGGGAACAAAATAACAACATATGTATGTAAATTTTCACTCTCTTACCCTCCATTACGTCTCTCAAAATAAAACTCATAAACAAAGCGAAGTGCTAAAACACGTTTTAAAACCGAATCATGTTTGAATTTGGTCTAGCTTTAAAGTGTTTCTCTGATTGGCAAAAATTTGATCTTTTCTGGCCTAGTCTATTTCAATTTAACTTTGAGCCTCTGTTGGATCAGTTTATAAGGAGATAAAAGTTTGACCACAACTATACTAATTCTCTATAGAACTAGTTTATAAGGATCAAAACTGTACTATGTTTAATTGAATGACCAAACATACCCGAAAACTAATTTAAAAATGGGTTGGATCTTACATGACCCAAATCATATCTGACCTAAATTCTACTAGTTCTAAATGGTTTATTAACCCTCCTAATCCTTCCCCTCACTTACTAAAAACTTTGGATCTTTTTAACCCTCCTATTCCTTCCTCTCACCTACTAAACAAATATAAGCAAATATAATTTTAGGATGGTTAGCATTGTAACCTCCCCAACTCCTCTTGTCCCTACTTAAAAAAAATGTTATGACAAAATCCCCAGGAATGGGCTAATACCAATCACACGAAAGTGTAGAAAAATATCAAAAACACAAAAACATATGGATATACGTGGTTCGGCTTGTAGTCTACATCCTCGGGCGAAAGAGGAGAATAATTTACTTACAATTTATGAGGAACATAATGTGAGGTCTCTCAATCACTCAATCCCTAATACACCCCAAAAGCCTAATACAACTCACTCTCAAATAAAGGAACAAAAGGGAAAAATATCAAATATGCTTCACAAGAGAACTCTCTCATCAAATATACTAGTTGAGATGCACGTGCAATGCACGTGGTTGAATATCATGATTATTTAAATTGATAAAAATAGAGTAAAGATTAAAAAAATAAAGTTGTTTTTTGTGGGATTGATCATCAACTCAATAATCTCTCTCTCAAATAAAATATTATCATTATTTCCTTCAACCCAGATTGTGGCCACGTGATCTACTATTTGTGAGTTATAAACACATTAATCTAGTACAACATCTCTATTTATTAATATCTTGAAGTCTTTAAAAGATGGGTGATCATTCAATTCACAAAGAAATTTTGTATATGAATTTACTTGCAATATGTTTGTTAAACTTTTAGTTGTGGTTTGGCTCATATTCACGTTAACTTTTAGTTATGATTTCACTCATATTTATATTATAAAATATTCTCATTCAATTTTATAGCTCATTCTCTGTACCATAGAAGTAAAACCGAGAGTATAAAGAATTATTTTCTTGTGAAATTAGAGCAAGGAGATTATGATATATTTCGTCATGAGCTCTAAATATAATTTTTTTTTCTTTAATGCAAGGTCCCTATCAAATCTTACCCCAAACATTTTGAATGAAAAATGATATTGTAACTTATTTGCCAAGGGCAATTATATTGTATATAAGACATATAACTCATCTGAAATATCCACAACTACTAAGTGGAGTTTGCTGTGTTAGGAATCTTGACCCTAAGATATGTTTATAGATGATAACAAATATTATATGTTGTGTGTATTATGTGCTAACATTTGTTTTGTAGTATCAGAGCAAAATTGACAATGATATTCAAAGAGATACTTAAGACATAAGATGAGTTCAAGACAACAATAAGTAAAGAAGAAAAAGTGCATAAATGTCATAATATAATTTTTACATTTTCTTTACTTAGAAATATTATACAAGCCTTGATCACTTACACACATACACACACATAGTGTTTAGAACACACTAACATATGCTTAGTATGTTATATCTCATTTATACCCCTTAGTAGTTCGAATCTGAAAAAACTCAAAAGACCAAAGTTATAGGTCTCTTCAACAGATTTTTAACAAATCTTAAATCACCTTATTCCGAGGTCGGATGAGAAAGTTACGGTTAAAATATTTAAATTTCAGAATTTGTGAGTTTACAGTATAGTCGACTACTATGTCTTGTAGTCGACTACTAAGCAATTTTCTGACTTTACAGAGTTTGTTTAGACTCAGTGTTGTCGACTACTATGACTTGTAGTCGACTACAGATTTAATTTTTCTAGATTTTAGGTTCTGAATAAGTGACTATTTATAGCCGTTTGTGTACATTTTTAGGGTTTGAAAACTTATCTTTTCAATGGCTATAAATAGGGTAAAATGTTAAAAAAAATAATAGATAATACTTATACTCATAAGATCAAACATTTGTGCATTTATAAGTGTTCTAATATTCAGCTTTTGCTTAAGAGTTAGAGTTCTGAAATAGCCTATGTTCTTGATCATTTCCTACTAAATGTTTAGGCAAATTTCAGAGAGTGAAACCTATAACCACAGTGAGAATCACGTTCATAACACATTCAAGGCTTATAGGATTGGATTTTTACTTGCTTCAAAGGAAGGTTCTCTCGGTTTGTGAGAGGGGTTGATCTCTTAGTCTGGAGGTCGGTTTACAGTTGGGATGGTGTTATCAATTGGGTTTGCAATTTGCATGGTCTTGCAAATTAGTTAGGTTTGCTTTTGATTTTGTAAGGTTTCAAAATTATAGTAGAAATCTCAAGCGGGATTTGCTTGGGGACTGGATGTACGCCGGGGAGGTGGAACCAGTATACATGTTTGTGTTTGTGATGTTCATTTTCTAAGATTGTTGTCATTCTTTCTTACAATTTATAACACATCTTACAAACCTACCCTCTAGTGTTTTAAGTGTTAAGCTTCTGTAGATTTACTCTTTATAAGAACATACTCTTTTCTTAAGGGTCACAATTAGGGGTGTGCAAATGGTCGGTTCGGTTCGGTTCGGTTTTTACCAAGTTTTGAACAAACGAACCGAACAACCTATAATTCAAAACCGAACTGAACCGTTGCAAGTCGGTTCGATGCAGTTCGGTTCGGAGCAGTTCGGTTCTAACTTCATCAAACTTGTTATCAAACAACATACTGTGTTAAAGAAAAAAGATATCAACATACCTCCGATCTTCCTTTTATTGCTTTCCTTTTAGTCAAAGTCTGAGAGCCTTGTGTAGATTGATTAGAATCAACTTGACGTGCATTTATATTAGGATTCTCCTTTTGAGAAGCCTGCAGATTATTTTATCAATTCAACTTGATTAGAATCAACTTTTTAGCACACTAATTTTGTAAGCTATTCAATACTTAAAAGTAATTATAGAAAATAAGTTTATACTTATCGAGACAAAGTGTAACTTAAGAGTTAAGACTAGCACTAATATGATTTATTTATAAATCACCAAATTGACACCAATAATCAAAATCAATGCCTATTTTTAGTATTTTGAACTATCTAATAAACAAACGAGCAACATCAAAAAATGTATTAACAAAAAACAATATAAGGTTTACAGATATGGGCATATAATCATGATAACCAGAGTGTAGAAAATAAATAATTCACTATCAATATTTAGCACAAGCCAAGTGTATAGACCTATAGGCTATATTTAGTTTTTATAATATCAAATGTTAGAATATTTTCTTCTATTTTAAAAATGTTGACATTATTTTCTTAAAAAATATATATACATAGTAACAAAAATATATACTTCAGTTTAACTCAAACATTGGCTTGAAACCATTTAGAGTGATGTTCTTTCTATGCTAGAATGATGATATAGTGATTATACAGTTCAAAAGTCAAAGAAGAAATTTCTTCAAAAGAAAAATAATTTAATATGTTAAATTAACAACTAATTTATAAAATATACATGAGCAGTTCAAATAGCTACAGAAAGTAAGGTGTATATCTTCATGAAAATTTCATAGTGAGTGACCAACTACAATCATCCTAATTTAATCATAAATAATTATTATTTTAGTTACTAATTTGATACTCGTAACTATAGAATAAATCTCAAGCAAAAAAATAGGAATTGGGATTGGATTATCCTGTATGTAAATAAATAAATGTTATTAGAGCCCCTCTTTATATTAAATTTAAAAGTAATAATTTAAATTATTAAGCGTCAAATATTAGCTCATGTGAG